CTGGGAAGGTCGCAATGACAAGTGTTGGGTATTTCACTTGGGCGTACTGCCCTTCTTGGGCTTTTGGGTATTAATATAGGAAGTATTTATTTGGGGATGTCCAAGTTGTTTACGATTCTTGCGAGTCGTGACCCGATAAGCACAGCATAGGGAAGTCTCAAAAAAATGAATGCTAGGATCCTTTTTGTAACGAATTAACACAGTCTCTATAAATTTATCTCTCAATCAGGAATTAGACAGTCGATGAACGGGGATTCAGAACCCCCCACCACCCTGATTGGGTGGCCCGGTCTTTGCAGCAGCTTTCAGCGCTTTTAGTGCCTGAAAGCTTTCTTTGATAGGTAGAGTGATTTCGTTAACATCACCGAGCCTCTTCGGTTTTTGTATCTATCCGACTGCCCTTCGAATTTCTCCACGGGCCTAAATGTACGTCGAATGCATGGTGCATCTTATGGCACCCATGAAAATGACTGGCACTTATCGTAGATCTTTTTTGGATGGAAGAACAGAAAGCCTTAAAAGCCATGCAGAGGAACGTGGCCCGACTGGAAAGTAAGTCTGACAGGGTCCGTCGTCGCAGCACTCTTATGTATGTTGTGGGTCGGCCTCGTAAAAATCGAGTAGCGGTCAGTGAAAGTACATGATGAAAGTGCCCTTTTCAGCAGATTTTTGATGACTTTCACATGATTGGAAAATTGATTGACTACCTTAGAGTGAAAGAAACCAGTATTGGCTCAGTCCAAGAAACTCGTATCCTCTGCGCATCTTTATACTTCCACAGGAGAATGCCCTGAAGTTTAGGGTCTTTTAGCATCAATCAATCCCTTTTGGGATGCCCCCTCATTCAACTCCCATTCAGAGCCGTAGTGGTCTTTTGAATGCGTGTGGTACCTATACAGCGGCTTGCGGTGCTCAGCCGATGTATGGGTGCTTTATCATCCCAGACGAATATGGTACTAATTGTCCGATCCCGGAGGGATGGAATATGGGTGCCTGAGCGAGCATCTTTCCTGGACTTGATCCTCGGACCGTTCGGGTGTGATAGCCGCCACTTGGCACTACAACATACATAAATCTAGAGAGTAACAGCTTCTGAACGTTCCCAGATACTCGCCATGCCTTCGTCTCAGCTAATCATATTGGCTCCTTTCAATTCGTATAATTCACTGCGTTTCAACCTTGAAATGCTTATCAAATTAGTGACTCACTTTCTAGTCTTTAATCCACTGACTCATTGCTAAAATGAATAGTCTAAAGAAATTGAGCATCAGGTTCCTCGAGCTATCCCCCGGTGCTGTGATATCTCCCCACTTATCATCCATCCTGTTGATTCTGGAATCCCAGGTATCTGTTCCACTTGGCCAGGAAGATTTTCGCCTAACAAGATTTATTTACTTATTTGTTTATTTACAAGGGGCACTTAGTTCGAATTCAACACCGTAATTTGGAATCTGATTCACCTAACTACTATTTAAAGGCTGAGCTCTACGAAGAATCCTTCACAACAGACTTTTTTATGGTTCAGTGGGTAAAGGCGCTTTTGATGACAGATCGGTTCCTTTTTGCCACCTGCGATTGTAAGCATACGCATTTTAACTCCTCTGGAACCAGTTATCGGTACTAGATTGGGCTAGGTGAATGGGAAGCATTGGCAGGGAGAAGAGTTCAGAACTTTTCAATAAGTAGCTCCATATCTTCAGTCCCACTTGTTTACCGGCCTGTTTACCTGGAATTAATATGTAAACAAGATGAGCTGCGTGATATCGAGCCTTCTCGATGCGTAAGCCTTTTGACAGCGAGAGCCGCCCTCTATAGGGGACGATATGACTGCCCTATCCCCTCGCAGGATATCCCAACAACCCACTTTTTTGGGGGAATAGCAGGTAGCAATAGAGCGCGTAGCAGCAGAAACCAGTCTGATCTACCGCAGAAAATTTCGTTTGAATTATTGAGAACATTTCCAGTCAATGTCGTTTGTGCTCGTCGAAAAAACCCACCTATGGCTGCAATTAAACCCCCTAAAAACACGATATTCATGTGCAGAACCCCGTTAGATGAAATTATTTTCGGCTTGAACAGAGAATCATCGGTCGTCATTCGTGAACGATCAAGAGGTTTTTCCCTAGTCGACAACGACTAATCGCCTAAATGTTCAGCCATGCTATACGAGGAACTGTTGCGGCGTGGCGTTTAGCGGCGATTTTCAGCTCAGCATCCCCACATGGCCAACCCACACGACGAAGCGCCTGTTTGAGCATTACGTAACCTTGCTGGCTAAGCATCTTCACTGAAAATACCTTGGACTATAGCCGGACCGGATACCGGTCAGTCAGGCGCCATGAACGAGTCGTAATTGTCGCGTTGTCGAGCAGCCTCATAGTGACATGGGATCGGGGCGATCGGGGATGTTTCACGGGAAAGATACGACGTTGGTGGTTGCACCCCACCGGGTGGGTGCCAATGCCTATGAGTGTAACTGAGGTAATCCAATCAGTTATCACGAACACAAAGAACCGGTCTCAGACGTCGCTCTGACGTCGCCAGTACATCAAAAAACAACACGCATTCCATGGTGTTTTCACTTTATTTCCTTTCTTATTTACAAGCTCTTCGGATTCATTCGTAAACAGACCAACCTTTGTACAGTGGTTAGAGACATTGGCACTCCTCCCATGAATCCCAGGGATCGAGTCTTACATGGCTAACCAAGCAACTTCTTCATATTGTAATGGTCCAACCAGTCAGTAAGAGGCAGTAGGGGTAGGGGTGGAGACAAGACTACAGTTAGGAATGTGGGAACCGTTGGGAATAGTCCAGCCAGCCAGTAAGGGGCAGTAGAGGTAGGAACGGGGACAGGGGCACGAACAGGAACAGTGCGACAGCCAGAATGTTTAGGTTGTTGATGTGTAAACTGTTACACTTTGAAGAACTGTATCAATCTGAACAGGAGGTGGATACGCGGCGCATTCTGCAGAGGCTAACCAATATGGATCTCAGAACTTATCTTTCTATTGATAGGCTTGCCTTCCTTCGGTAAACTTCACAGGGGCGGATTAACAGAAGGGGAGAGCGAAAGGTTGGGATCCGTGAGGGAAAACTGCTGGCGAGTTGAAATTTGAGGTTTCATTGTCAGACTAGTTGAGGTATTTGAAGAAATCTCTTGCCCGAACGACAATTTGAGTGGGCCTATTGACACAGGGCATAGGAATTGCCCGATTGTCTTTGAAGAGTTCTAGAAATCAATGTGGACGCAGAGGGGGGCCCAGTACAATGTACTTTATAGACATCAGTTAAGGGAAAAGCCAAAAACTGTTCTTCAAGATGAGAAAATCCCAGCCACTAGAAGCAAATCTCCCATTAAATCGGTTTTTCAGATATTTTTCATCGGCCAACGATGAATCAAAGTCGAGATGTGAAGATGAGTGCGAAGAGGTGAGTCGTTTCCCTCGATTGTTTCTGAATCTGTATTTTTCATCGGCCAACGATGAATCAAAGTCGAGATGTGAAGATGAGTGCGAAGAGGTGGGTCGTTTCCCTCGATTGTTTCTGAATCTGGCCCCGTCAAGGGTAGCCTGAGCTTCCAACGAATCATTTTAGGTCTATTATTCCTTCTTTACCTATGGAAAATGTGTAGGAGATATCTTTGGTAAACTTCCCAGGGATCAACAACCAGCATGTAACCTTCGCTGCGGGGTGAGTAATCTTGTTGGTAAATGGTCTTTTGTGTGTGACAGAAACGTTCACTTCAGGTTCGACCACGTATTTGGACGACCGTCGGATTGTTTTGTGTGTTTGCCGCTGCATTGGCAACACTTCTATTCACAATTCCAATGTGTATCGCCACCTGTGCGTCATGTCTTCATGCTAAAAAGGTATCGAACACTTCTTTGGAGCCTTTGTCATTTCTTCCTTTTGTTTTGTCCCTTTTCAATAAGCGTCATGGCGCAGGGCGAAGTTCTGACAGCTCTACCAGCTGATTGAACGAGTTGCAGTCGATGGGGGTAGGTTACGATGCTGGCAAAGCCAATGTTTACCCAATTACTTACCCACAAGTTCGCATTCAAAGTAAAAGAGGATACCTATACCCACTCGACCTGCGCTCTGTAAATTTGAAACAGTGGGGTTTTCTTCTTCACCCCTCCTCCACCCCTTTCTTCACCACTTACCCTAATGGAGAAAGTGAAACTCATCAACTTGGTGATTCGCCCAGTTCCCCGATACTAAACGGGAAACTGCCAATTTCAAAACTGGATTCCCGAAATACTTTCCAGACAATTAACAGTCATCATAGTCCATTTATAGACAACCTGGCGTCCCCACACGTTCTGACGGAACCCCTAAAAAGGCACCTTTATGAGTTCCTCGTTGAGCGAGGTTGATGTAATGGCTAAAAGTGTCACTCAGCACACCGTTGATCAAATCCTGCCCGAAAGAGTCAACCATTAGTCTCTTTGGAGGACATTTAGTTGAAACCGGAATGATCAGAGTGAAATGTCTGAAACCCTCACCTAAGTCGCCATCACTAGCTATCGTGAATATAAGGGGCCTAGATTCAGAGTTTCAAACCGTTCGAATAACAGCTTGATTCTAAAAGCATGTCATATGCACGGCGCATTCCAAGGAATCGGAACAAAACCGAACTATTCGGTTTCTTTGGTCGAAATTTCTCTTGGGTGACTGGGTTTGATCCGGATGTGGGTTAACACAGTTTCAATCAACCATAACACCAGAACCGATTGATTTCGAAATTCTGGACGGAAATCGAATGTATGGCTCATTCCATAATGAGGTATCAATTGCACACATTTGAATCTTGAGACTTATTTGCCAATCAGTGAGAATGATCCCAACTTTGTTGGTGTTGGTTGGTGGAATTCTGCTCTAAGTCAAGTCAAGTGCTTCTTCAATTCTGAGTGAAAGTTGTGTGCATGGCCTATGCCGAATAATCGATCAGTGGCCTTCGTTCTACGATCCCAAAGTTTCCTTAAGGTTCACCCTTCATCGTCCACCATATTATCACCTCTTTGAATTCCCATTTCGCTAAGCTGGGTGAACGACCGGATGAAAAGGCTCCACTAGGGTAAGCGAATCCATTTGCCATCACTTTTTTATCAGGCCAAGTATTGGGCGTCATATCGACACCCATCGCCTGAGTACGTTCCTGATCGTATCGCGCGGGTAGTGGTGGTGGTTGTTTTCGTTGAGTTTGTGAGGTGGTATGTGCGTGGGGCGTGGTGAAGTGGCAATAAGCGACTTTGCAAGAAGAAGAGCCAGCGATGCTTTGCCGATTGTGTAGTGGAACGACCTTTCAATACGTTAAGTGTGATAGTTCATTTCTAATGACTCGAGGTCATCACCCGTGCCCGCGTCCCGTCGCAATGCAAACGGGAAAGATTCATTACCCTTCAAAGTAGGTGCGGCGTAGCTCCCACGCGAATCGTCGAACGAAGGCTTGCCCAGAGATGAAACAGTTTCCACTTCTGCCCCTTCGAACTGGGAGAAAGAGGGGGGGGGGGNAGAGGGGGGGGGGGGGGGGTAACCTTTATGACCTCAGTATCGGCATTCTTACATCGTGACACATTGTTGAGGTTGATGTCGGAGGCGTTTTCGTGTGCCGAGATAACCCTGCAGATTGGCCAACAGATAGGGATCAGTCCAGTCGATCGGCCGTTCGAAGGTGTGCCCCTCGCCTCCGACCCAGCCCGACGATACATCCGTAAATTACTACTTGACGATTGACACTAGGATATGCTACCAAGTTATAGGGCGACAGATGGGGACCGATAGTCTGGGGAACTCAAATCGATCGATTGACCAATACAACTTCCATGGGAACTTTGAGCATGAAAATCAGTTGATTTAGTCTGTCCTTGTGAAAGGGGACGCCAAATAATCTTCCTTAGAATTTGTGCGGGCGAAACTTTCCATTTTCCCTTCGGAGAACTTTTAGAAATCCCTTTGGGGTACTGGTACAAAAGTTGATTCAGACCTTAGAATAGCTTTTTGCTAATGATCGCTTATGGTTTGATATCTGCCAAACACTTTAATGGTTTTAATTCTGAGCAATTTCGATGAGTTCTAGCCCGGGACTCAAGTCGGAAAATGAATTACTCAGAATTAAGGCATGGTGAAAGCAGGGTATAAAGAAGTCCATCCCTCCGGTAAACGCCGCGCACTTGGCACTCGTAGGAGACCTCGACTTTGTTTGAATGAGAGTCATGTCGTTCCATTACGAATTCATTCATTCCATCCATTCATTCATAATTACTTTTTATTCCAATTAAACCTGATACAAAACGGATAATCTAGGATGCCTGGTGGAACGGGAGGTTCCATTCACTCATGTAAAGGACGGATTGTGTGGATCGGAGGGGCAAATGTCATGGAACTCACAGTATCTTTTGAAAATTTTAAAGGAAAAGAGAAGCTCAACATGTGCCATGCCCTTTCCTTGTGAGAGGATCACCTAGGATGAAGGCCAAAACTTTACAGAATCCATATTCGAAGCTGAACTTATTTTTGTATTTACTTACTTATTAAAGCTAACGGAGTTCCGTAAGGAGCCGTAGTGTCCAATCTAGGCCTAGACATAACCCTACCGAGATATTTGCCGATAATAAATTTCTATCATCACAACTACTTGATAGGGACGATTAATCTCAAACGGTTTCGGTCTCGGCAACCAATCATTTTGTCCCAGAAAGATCTTCCTTTGCACTGATCACCTGCTGAGAGCTACCTATTTCATTTTAGCAAAACTTTTCTCATCCCATCCACCTTATACGTATACGTCTCCATACGGCAAAATGGGGTCAGCTCTTCTCGGCCCGTCCGTCGTGCAGTCTCATACCAGACCGGATATTTCTNGAGATATTTGCCGATAATAAATTTCTATCATCACAACTACTTGATAGGGACGATTAATCTCAAACGGTTTCTGTCTCGGCGACCAATCATTTTGTCCCAGAAAGATCTTCCTTTGCACTGATCGCCTGCTGAGAGCTACCTACTTCATTTTAGCAATATTTTTCTCATCCCATCCTTCCTTATACGTATAGGTCTCCATACGGCAAAATGGGGTCAGCTCTTCTCGGCCCGTCCGTCGTGCAGTCTCATACCAGACCGGATATTTCTATCCCTATCTCCTCATATCAATTGCTCTGGCCATTGAAGTGATGATATATATCTGTCGATGTGGGTGCAATAGTTAATGATTACGGGGAAGGACGTTCATATTTGGGTCGAATTCCGTTACTGAAAAAGCCATACGCGACCTTTACTGTCGCAAAACGGTCACAAATCTTCAAGTAAGTATGTTAGAACAAAAAGTGACGACGTTCGTTTAACGGCCGCTTACCACTATCGGAGACGGCATTCGAAATTTCCTGGTAGGGCTATCTTTAAGGGGACCTACCATACGAGCCTAACTGTGGGACCAAAAAGTCGAGGACCTTGGTTGATCTCTTTACAGTTTACATCCAACTTCTACAAATACCTGCCCATGTACCCCCGTATGGGAGCTGAGCCATTCTCCTTGCAACTGACCAAAACGTTCCAGCTAATTTTAAGATCTATTCTGTCACAACAACGGATGAAAAATTCGGGAATGGGAAAGGAAATGAGCAGGAAATCCTCCCATATGGTGAATGACAGGTTTGAGTTAATCTGTTCAAGTCGGGATGTTCACGGGTGTTGGAAGAATCGTCACTGAACCTTACTTCCGTATCACCTTGGGTAAGCCATCAAAAGCCTCAGGGACTTTAGATCCATTTTCCATTCGGATCTCAGACTTCTATGGATTAAGAGCGAGATGGGGAAAAGACCTCTCCTTCTCGGTTTCTCAATAAAAAGCAAAGAAATAGCCCAGCTAGGATGTCACGATGTTATTCATCCCCCCCCCCCCTCAAAAACCACAGTTCCACAACAGCAACTTCGTTTATTTGTTTGGAAACCCTATTTGTTTTCGAGTACCACGTGAACATGGACGTTAAGGTATCGTTTTCATCGTGTGAGAAGAGGGGGCAGGGGTGGAAGGGGTGTTGAACGGGGAGGCAGATGGGTCGAACTAGTTTCCGTGTGGTTCAATCGGAAGTTTTGGTCACAGTTATCATTATGGTCATGCCATCTACCATTGCACTGTGGTGTCTATCGACAGAGAGTAATTTAGTTGTTGGCAATGGGAAACCCAAACGTGGCTGGCAATCTAACTACGAGAAAGTTTTTATGGGAATTCAGATAAAATTGACCGGTCCTATGACAATCACCGATCACGGATGGGATACGCTGATACCAAGGTGCACTCAGCCATGAACCAGGCGAGTAGGAGGGTGTTACTACTTTAGATGATATACGACATAAAAGAAGAGAGGGATGGTCAACTGTGTTTCTACTAAAAGGTTATGATTCCGCGCTTGACGGCACTTTTCCGGGATTGCTGGCACTCGGTTTCGGGATTCGTTGAGCCATATTTTCAGAGAAACAGATCTGATTGTCCCAGTCACTTCTTATGGATATAGCAAAACTAAAAAAGACTAAGTTGTTGGGCGTTGGTCAAATCCGTCTGAGGGATACGCCCTGTATTCGACTTCCATTCAGAATCGTAGTGGCGTATTGAATGCGTATGTGGCCTATACAATGAATTGCGGTGACCAGCCCATGTACAGTCAGTGCTTCTGTCTCCCAGACGGGTCTGGTACCTATCAACCGACCCCGGAGGGATGAAAGGCTTTGTTGGTCTAGGCGGATACCGAAACGGAATTCGAACCCGTGACCATGTGTGTGTGATAGTGCGCCACTCACCACTACACCACCTCCGCCTTAAAGAATGAGTGCTCTCAGAATTATGAAACATAGGAGTCATAGATATGTTGAATTTCGCAATGGGTATAAAGAAGTGAGTCATTGCTCAAAAGCGATAAATGCCTTTTTATTTAAACGATTATGGCCTCGTTTGAAATTATCTTAATGGGAAATCGGTAAATAAAAACACTTGAACAAAACCGGAACGAAACGAATTTATCTGGCCAAGGATCTGAGAAATTTAATCGAAAAACTGTCCACTTCAAATAAGGAAGTTCATCGAATAGATGGTAATATATTGAGATTCACTGACTCAAGCCCAACAGGGATGCGCCGTACAACAGTCTTGAAGTCCTCATCGTTGAAGCGATTGGTAGTGTACAATGGTCGCGGGTTGAAGTGGCAACGTTCCAGAAGCTTAGCCATTTGAGCAGCCTCCGTGATACCTTGCGCCGGGACATGTAATGGGCTTTCTCTCCGGTTGGGATTGAAAAAGAAATGAAAAAGGCGGTTAACTTCCCCAGCATCTTAAGGGTGGTCCATTTGGAACTCCTATTTGTCTACATGATTCTGATGTCCCCGAAATCCTCTTCAGGAAGCTCCAGAAATTAAAAATATTTATTTTCATCTTCAATAAGCTTAATTTCAGGCTAACAAGAACGCTAAGCGAGTAATGATGGAGCAACAAGCACAACCGAGTAAGGATCAACAAGTGGCAACGATGGGCTACAATCCATACGCCTATTGGCCGTACTATGGACGGGCCTAGGCCCGTTCGTATAGCCAGCCACTGGTCTAGTACCAGTTCCTGTGAAACGTATCATCGACCTCGTTCTAACGCCGTTCGAAAAGCTCTTTACTGACTAACAGTATGCTATCGTAATTCCACTACAGTATTCCACAGTCAACAAGGGCTTTCCGGCTCTACGGCATCGTCATTCCTCACATCAAAGCCCAACTACTACTACTATTCATCACAGAAATGTTTCGTATTTCGGGTACGCGCGCATTTGCTCCTCGACGCTTGCCAAAAATCGATATTTTCTTGTCAAATATCAATCGATACTTGATGTTGTGTACACGTACGAATGTGTTTATCAGATATATATAGTTTATATAGATATAGTGTTCTTACAATTGTCATTTTCTCATGCATGTTCTATTGACAATCACTGCCAAATCTCAGGCCAGACATTCTAGATCGCGACATACATATTAATAAAAGGAAAAANNNAAAAAGAAATCATTCAGAAATACATTTGGCTTCAAAATCAATTTTTATGATGCATTTTCGCAGAGAATAAAAGTATAAACGAGACGTGTCAATGCTTTTCAGGAGCGTTTCATGTACGATTGGTAAGTTTCCTTCCATCGAATGCGCCATGTATTTGGCTTTCAATCAAAATAGCAGAGATTTCGATGGAGTATTCTACTTACACAATTGGATAGAGAGAAAATTAGTGCTGCTCTCTACAGCGTTTCTGGGATGCGCCTTGCATTCGAGTTCCACTCAGAAACAAAATGGCGTTATGAATGGTATGTAGCTTATTCAATGACTACTAGTGGACTTCATTTGTTGGTCTATTCAATGACTTTTATCCTCCCAGACGAGTCCGTTACCAATTAAGCGACCCCGAAGGAGTGGAAAGCTTGGTTGGGCTGGGCGAGTACCAATACGGGATCCGATTCTCAGACCATGCCTATGTGATAGTGTACCACCAAATAGGACATCCCTTTCAACCACTTAGTGTACCATCAAAGAGGGAAGGAGGGAGGGAGGAAGGGAGAAAAGGGAAGGAAGAACGGAAGCGAGGGAAGAAGGGGAAGGAGAATAAGGGCAATGAGCAAAGCGCGCATTTGGGAAACTCGTCTTCAACAAAAATTTTAGTACTTCGAGCTCGAGCACAACTTTTACCCATTTGACCAATCTACCTACTACTATATGCATGAGTAGTAATGGTTGTTGCTGTTCAAGTTTTTGTATTGAGCGAATGGTGCAATTAACAATGCCGCAGTCTATTTATCGCTGCTATTGCCGAAAACAGGACCGTTACCGCAGCCGCAGCACCAGCACTCAGCCAAACAAAGCAACACAAAACGCTCATAAACAAAAACATTCACTAGTAAGAGGTACTGCTGTAAGGAATGCTTCACGTAATCGATCATTTATTCTTCCAGTCAGACTAAAACAAAATTCCAATAAAATTTTATCTTTGAAGACGGCTTTTTGAATTAGGACTTCTAAATTAGAAGCTCTCCCCCTCCTCTTCAGTAAGACCTTATCGACCTCTGTGTTGGATTGTGTAGAACAGTTTTTCCCTTCGCTAGAAATGTATTGCTCTCAGAGTCCTCCGCTTTTTTACAATTTGACTACAAATTTCTAACTCAGCCCAGCAGGAACTGAACTTTTGCCCTCTTCTGTCCTCTACCTGCGTTACTCAATAATCGGCACTGTTGAGCTTGTCAAAAAGATTCTACGGTAGCTATCCTGCCTATTGCAAATTCAACAGGTGCACTGATAGTACCTTCCCACCTTCCAACACCCTCCCACTTCATTCCACCACCATCATCAAATGTTTTTCCGTACCCAAGTCGATGGGACCGTACTGGAACGGTGACAAAAACATCGCAGGTGTGCATTCCAGGTGGTGTCACAGTATCGCGAAAGCATTCCAGATGATGTCACAAGTGTTCAGTGCCCTCCAAGCAGTCCTTTACGGGAACCAATTCACAGGGAACTCGGGTGAGACTCATTTAAGTCACTTCAAAACTTTGGGTGAAAATGATTCATGAAACTTTCATGAATAAACCCCAGGGGTCAAAAACGTTGCAGTGTTGATGGGTAAAGGGGAAAAACGATTTGACGAATGACATCGAACCGGTTCGGCTGAGGAATGCGAACAATGTGCTTAGTGATGACACCCAAATGAAATACTTCATAAAAGATACCCACCACCAAGTGGAAATGAATGCAATAATGCTGAAATATACTCGAAGTCTTCCTTGTTATCACTTAAAACTTCCTCGTTGGGAATTAAAAACAATATGAAATTCAAGAAGTCTATCGGACGGCAATATCAGAAAAAACTGTCCGTAGAAAGGGTATAGGTCTCTTTAAGGCTGCTAAGTAGGATCTAAATGCTCCCTCGGGCCCAAATGAAAATTCAATGCATGGCGCATCCTCGGTGGACTGAACAACTTGAATATTATGCCAATAGCAATGTGTAGCTTAAACTCACCCAGATTTGGATTCTACATGGAGTGCCCGAGCCATCTTCATCTTTGTTAATGAAACGAAAACGGGGCAGAATCCACCTACAATTCCCGATGCCATATACTTAATCATGGACGGATCCCTCAGACCCAGCCAATCCACCAAATTTTTTGAGGTCCGAGTGCCTGGATGTCCTTCAGCCCTGAGTCACTGGACAGAGCTGAGGCAGTGATGAGAGAAGCTGCTTTTTCCTAGGCACATGCGAATCCGGTGCGTTGGACTCCGTTCACACCAGTACGTTGACTGCTTGGTGCCAGGTCTTCTTGCAGCTCAAAGTTCCCAACAGGGCACAGGCTTGTTCAGATCCTTTGACTACCGTAAGGGGTAGCAGTCTTGGGGCTGCCCCTAAGGAAATGTCAATCGTTACCGTGTGGAATGATGCCCCTGGCTGTAGAGCGTTTTGCTAAGGGACATCCTACTTAAAACTGCAGAGGATCTGATAAGCTATTACCACGGTACCGTGGGAAAGGAAAAAGACAACCTTCAATACCCATGCCACAGCTGTCGGAGCCAANTAATTTGGTTCGATAAAGGAGAGCAGATGAGCAAAAGCGAGATAAAGCTTAAGCTCGGATGAAAATCGGACTGCACTTGAGCCAACTTTTCCAATCGATGCTCGTTAGTCAATATCGATTAGAAGTATCGATTAGGTGTGTGATGTCAGAAACGGGTAATATAACTCTTCCTTTCTTGACTATAATCAATGTATTCGAAAATCCGTTGTTTTCCAGTATTTGAGTATGTTTGGCGGTGGCTACCACAAAAAAGACTATCCGGCATTCGAGTAGTGTGACCTGCGGCAACCAGAACGGAGGAAACATTTATCAAATCAAATTGTGGTGGTGTACACCCACACGACAAACAACGCAACCGTGGGATGGAATGGTCGCGACTGTTCAACTGTTATGACGAATTGCCATACACCCTGTAGAGAAAGAAGAAAATTCCAACCGCGCGAGAAAAAAAATGAACATAGAAAGGAGGAACTTCGCCAGAAACAACAGGATTTTCTTGAGTCCCAGTGGAAAAAAATAGTTGATATAGTGACCAAAGTTTACGTGAGGTTTACATCAATTCCTCCCTAGGATGAATCTGTGACCCTCAAGGATAGCATAGGGGACGCTGTCGGGTCGACAAACGGCCTAGATAGGACGTGACAAAGGCCACAAAACGGGCTTAGCCAACACAACATCCAAGGCGAAGGAGTTTTAACGGCGTGGTAGAGTCTATAAACGTTTCACCATTCGCATCGGGATGCACACGTTGCGCGCAGGCAGCTTACTGTAGCCAGCCATACGCAATGAAACACGCACTCGAACAGCTCGTCCAAATACCCCTTCCATACAACTCCTGTCGTATCATCTTCGCCCAATCCCTGATTTGACTACTTTTTGGAAGAGTTATATTTCTCTAAATAAGCCGAGGTTCGTGCTTTCTTCGCCAGTTTAGCGCTATTCTGGACTCATTATCTGTCTAAAACAATGGGTTGAAAGTTCCCTATCCAACCAATAGAAAATGATAACAGAATTTATGATAACTGTAACTCTAACTCAAGAAAAACTACCCTAAATAAACAAAAAACAATAACAAAGGTTGTCAACAACTGCGTTTAAAACATCAAAAAAATTACGGTAGTTTTCAACAATTTTAAAATCAAGTATCTATCACAAAAGAACGAAACCAATGAGATCACCTGTTTACCTTTAACATCTTCTCTGAGAATATTCAACAAATAGTCGGAAAGCGAATAACGCCCGTTCACATTCCGTTTCAGCGGCATTAAGAAGTGTTTGCCCTCGTCGGTACTTCTCCAATAACTGTCGGTCAGCTGTCGACATATACATCTCCTCCACTTCAGCCATCTATAGCAACAGAAAGTTCATTCGAATTACTAAGCATAAAGTATCGCTCAGGGCGGTGGTGGTGTAGTGGCGAATGGCGCACTATCACACACGTATGGTCACGGGTTCGAATTCCGGACCGATGTCCACCTGGGGCAACCAAGTCTTCCGTTCCTCCGGGATTGGCTAATTGATACCAAAATCGTTTGGGAGGTAAAGCACTGACTTGTAGCCGCGCAAGTCTTTGAATTGATCACGTACGCATTCAACACGCCACTTCAATCTGAAAGGATAGCGCATGCAGGGGCACATCCCACTGTTCCGGAGGACTTTATTCTTCATCCTTTAGTGTATCGCTAAGACAGCAAAGGCTACAATTTTTTTCCTTACTTCCTCCCCTTTCGCTACAGCTACCCATTTATAAAAGTAAAAAGACATAGACATGAAAGGACAGAGGTAGCCTTTCGCGTCAATCAACCGCGCCTTAGGGATGACGATCCGACTTTCATTACCCTATCCTCCAAGACGATCTGGTACCAATCACCCGCTCCTGAAGAGCAAGAAGACTTGGTTGGCCTAAGTTGATATCAATTTGGGATTCTTTTAACATTGCTACTACACCACCTAAATCATATATGAGGGAATCTCTCCATATTAGACCATTTGCGACAAAATTTGTGGGAGAGCGCCCAGAGGGAAAAGCAGGGTTTTCTGATTAAAAACCTTAACTTGTTCTCCACAACCAAGTTTGGATTGTTTTATCACGAGCCTTATCCAATCGACTTTTCAGTTTTCCGTAGTAAAATAGAAATAAAACAACAGGTGCCAAATTGAAGATGACAAAAGACAATACCTGCTGTTTCCTGGTCTCCTCATCAAGCGTTTCGTCAGCATTTATCGTCTCTATGATCGATTCCATTTTCACTTGTCGTTCTATTAGCAATCGATGCTCCTTTGTTTCATAGGAACGCCGTAAGATGATGTTTCGTAACATCTGAACATACTAAGCTGGAAGCCAAACTGTCACCTTCGAGCATAAAAAAGCGAGTAGCAGACAAATAGTAGGAAATGTTGTTGTAGCAAAAGGCACGACCATTTATCCAAGGCTTTGGTCATTCAAGTTGGGGCTCGTCCTACAAACTTCTCTCCCTTGCATACAATTGGTATCAGCTCAAACTGACGAGGCCGATAAATTGACATTTGTAATTAGTCTTTCCGACTTATTAAATAGATCAAATATGCCTTGAGATACCAGTACACCAGTGCACAAGATTCTCAACTGAAAGCAGACCCATGGCGCGATCTAGAAGGGATTGGCCCCCTTAGATTGCTTCACCCCTTTATTTGTTCATGCTTATACACCTGTGATAATTCCTGAATGAGAACGTGGGACACCCCTTCATTTAATCTAAGCAGCGTTCATACTAATCTCTAGCTGAAGCCACCGCCATCATAGTAACCTCAGCAATCATCGTAGGAAATCTCGCCTTAAAAACGAGCTTTACATACCTTACAAGTGTACTCAACAAGGCCTCGTACTGTCTGCGGTAAGTCAACATAGTACAACACAAAGGTACGGGCTGGAGCAAAGTCGTTTGTACGACCAATAGGCTGAAAACTGTTGTTTTGAATGCTTGTATGAAATTTCGATGCAAGTAAATTAGTTTTAAATTTCCATAAAAGTTGCAGTCGGGACTACTGGTCATTTTGAAGGTATGAACGGATCAAGACAGGCTCGAATCATACATTCACTGGAGCAAAGAACAGTTATCCAACCAAATTCAACCCAAAACCCGCAGAGTAGGGAGAGTGAAGAAACTAAGTCTCAGGCATTTGGAGAAAATAGTTATTTGACTAGGAAGGAAAAAAGGAACGGACGTACCTTAGTATGGATGTACCCTTCTTCAAGCATTGCATACAGCAGCTCGCGTGTTTCCTTCCCACTCATCATCGTCAACTTCTCAATTTGGTCCTCTTCGAGATGTCCTTTCTGCTGGAGAAGGCGAAAAATGCTGAATGCAGTTTTCTTGGAAGTAAACAATCAGGCTGACAGATTTTTCACCAAGATTGACAGATGCTCTTAAACGAATTCTGTTCTCGTTGATAAACTCCCTTGCTACCCAATTATTTTAACACGGAAACAAGAGAGTACAAGACATATTTCCTACAGTTCGAAGCCTACAATCTGCTAGATTTACCAAAGCAATCGTTTTCGAGCCAATCCAATCCAATTATAAAGGTCTCGAAAAATAACCCATAGTAATTTGAACATTGTGGAATGGTCAATCCATTATTTAATTTCACCACCTACTTACCGTACTGCCCTGGTCTCCAGCTGTTCCCGAATTAATGATTCAATATGATATTGACAAATTTGTTCCGTAGCGCGTTCAAAATCTGGAACACCAAACTTTTGAAAAGCTTGCACGAAAATACGAGAAAAAAAAACTTTTTAGTCCAGTTACACTTTACTCACCTATTATGTACAGTCCTCCACCACTATCGCCTGACCTCCGAACTACACCATGCGAATCATCTACAAGGATTCGCAGAGATTTTTCCAGATCCGGTCGCTCGATACCAAGCTCGTTTTCTTTCGCACACCGCATCATATCGAAAAGCTGTAAATCGACGGTTATTGTGCAGTGATCGATTGATACCCAGTAGGTTCGATATCAATGTATATGGAAGGTTCTCCAGGGCCAACTACCTTACTAGACGCACTAAACAGCGATTTTGGCGTCCCGTACTGTGCTGGCAACTTTTCTTACCCGCGTTTTTCATGGGCATACACCCACATATTCCTATACAAAAAGAAACTTGGATTCTGCATTCTTTAAGAGATTTTAACCCATTGACGACCATGCAGTCCACATGTGGTCTGCAGTTGTATTTTTTGTTTTATTCAACTAATTTTCCACTTTCTTTCAATTCTTCTCCACAAAACATTACATCGGGCCTAAATGAAACTACATACAGCGTGGTTCTAGAAAATCTTCTGATCTTGCAATTGTATACGTTTTTTTTTCGAAGGAGTACATTACCTTGGTGAACTTCGTTGAACAACT